CTTAGGAGTTGCTCCCAGTTCTGCTCCTGGCAGTGCTTGGGGGACCGTGCGGTGTCAGGGATTGAACCTGGGATCCTGTAGGAAACACACTTTCCTTTCCACATTACTTTTGCTAAACATCACATTTGCTAAATATCATTCACAGTCATGGTCATGGTCCTCCCGTTGTTCATCGATTTGCTCGAGCGGGCCCAGTAACGTCTCCATTGGAGACTTTGTTGTTACTGTGTTTGGCATATCGAATACGTCACGGGTAGCTTGCCAGGCTCTGCCGTGCGGGCGAGATACTCTCGGTAGCTTGCCGGGCTCTCCGAGAGGGGCGGAGGAATCGAACTCGGGTCGGCCATGTTGCCTGCTTGTAAGGCAAACGCCCTATCGCTGAGCTATCATGTGCAAATATACGTACACTCTTAAATCATTCTATTTTAGGGTAGCATTTTTCAAAACATGACACCGGAACCACAGTAGTCTTTGAGATCGTTGTTAGAATATATATCAATCTCTAGATATTTCGATCTACCTTCCTTTCTTTCCTCCTTTATTCCTTCCCTTCCCTCCTTCCTTCCTTCCTTTCTTTCCTTCCTTCTTCCTCCCTCCCTCCCTCCCTCCCTTCTTGTTTGGACCACACCTGGTGCTGCTGAGGGCTGTTTCTGACTCTGTGCTCAGGACTGGCCCCTGGTAGTACAGTGGAGCCATACGTAGTGCTGGGGATTGGCTGCATGCAATGTGGATGCCTTACCTCCTATTCTACCTCTCTAACCCAATATTTTAATTTCTTAGATACTTGACAGAATCTATTAATTTGCCACTCATTTAGAGAATCTGTGAGTCTGACTTGGGAAATGTAAATGAAGACATTTACTGTTATTGTATTTTCCTTTCTCTGTATTCCATATTTTATTTTATTTTGGCTTTCTGGGTCACACCTGGCTATGCTCCAGGGTTACTTCTGGCTCTGCACTCAGGAATCTTTCCTGGTGGTGCTCGGGGGACCATATGGGATGCTGGGGATCATACCTGGGTTGGTCACATGCAAGGCAAACGCCCTACCTGCTGTACTGTCGCTCCTGCCCCCAGTATTTTAGTTTTTATTTTAATAATGTAATTATATAGTTTAAAAGAAACGATATATTAAGATTATGATCCTCAGGCCAGACGATAGTAGTGGGTCCCAGCACCTCCAGCCTGTGATGGGTGCAGCACTGCTGGGGTGGCCCAGGTATCACTAGCACTGCAGGCCCTAAGCACTGTCGCATCCTTGGGCACTGAGGTTGAACCAACATCCTGGCCTGCCAACAATGCGCCCTGGGTCTCCTGAGTGACTCTGGGGAGGGTCCCTCCCACCAAATAAAAGGTTTGTTATCCCACCCCAGCCTAACACAATAGGGTCTACAAAAGTGTTATGATAATGGTAATCATGATATTGGTGACTTGAATGTCCTAGTAACGAAAGGAAATGCATTTATTTATTTATAGATTTTAGGGTCACAGCTGGCAGTACCTAGGAGGATCCTCCTGGTGGTGCATAGGGGACCAGGCGAAGGCAGGGATCAAACCCCGTGTTTGCATGCAGCCTCAGCCTCTCAGCCTGAGCTCTCTCTGGTCAACCCAGGAAGTGCTTTCCTGAGATGAGAGAAAGCTTCACTTACAAATGAGGCTAAATGAGTAATTAAGAAGGAGTGAGGTAAATTAGAGCAGGTAGACAGCTAAGAGAATGTCTCAGCTATTTGGAAGCTCATCCAGGTCTTACTCGAATTCTTTCTCAGTTTTATGTGGTAGTCTTCTCTGACCCTGAATTTGGAGCTTATAACTGCTTGATAAATAGTTTTAAGGTAAATACTATTTTTGAAATTATTACAGATATATTCAAATGGGCAGAAATGTTTCCTGTAATTGTTTCAGTTGCAAGCTGATGAGAATGCTGTATGAGCAGTAAACTACAAAGACTGAGCTTGCACTGGTATGTTAATACTATAACCAAATAAATTTTTCAGCAGTTATTTGACATATTTAATGATAGGTATAATTGTTACTGTGCTACATGTAATTAAGCTTAAATATAAAGTTCTGTGTTTAATATTAGTTTTCTGTAGCTGGACCTTGCATTTCTGAGGCCAGCTTGCGGGAGGAAAAATTTATGTCAGGCCAAGAAACTGTCGCTGGTGTCTCTGATTTAGAGATTTCCACTACCCAAGACTATATCGTAAAGGGAGAAATTGGAAATATTCAGCAAACAGCAAACAGGTTTTTTGTTTTGTTTTGCATTTGTTTTTTGGCCACTGTGTTGAAGGCTGTGTTGAAGACTTACTCCTGGCTCTGTGCTCAGGGATCACTCCTGATGGTCTCAGGGGACCCTGTGGTGCTGGGGATCATATAGGAATAGTCCACATTTAAGGCAAGAGTTTGGCCTGCTGTATTCTCTCTCTTGTCTCCAAATGGGTTTTGTTTTGCTAAAACTTGTGATGCCTAAGTCCCAGTTATAGATAGTTCTGAAAGACACTTTCCCTGCTCAAATCAAACCAGTAATAGCTCTAAGCTTTCTTCTATTTAAGGTGTCCTGGTAACTTAGGTCTCTGAATTCTGAACTGAATTTCTGATGTTTTTCTAACTTAAGTGCTGGATAACAAATATCCAGTGCATATGAAACAGTGAAATAAAAAAATCAAATTTACGGGCCGGGAATCTCTCACAGTAGAGCACTTGGCTTGCATGAATGAAGCCCTAGGTGATTACTAGGTAACCACTCTGGGAAGACTCTGGAGCATAGCTGGATGGAGCACAAAAACAAGAAACAATGAACGAGTTTAATGTCTTTACTGAAACAAATGAAAATATGCTAGCTTATAATGTGTGTGTGAGTGTGTGCGTGTGCGCGCGTGCGTGCACGCTCGCACGTGCATTATTTTTCCCTCCAGTGCCAGGGATCAAATCCAGGACCTCACATTTGCTTAGCATATGCTTTCCCAGTGAGCTGAATATTTGGGCCTAAGGCTGGAGTGATTGTACAGCGGTTGGGCTCCACCTTGCACACAGCTGACCCAGGTTCAATCCCTAATATTCCATACCATTTCCGGAGCATCCCCAGGAGTGATCCCTGAGCGTAGAGCCAAGAGGAAGCCCTGAGCATCATGGGTTGTGTCCCCCCTGCACTCCCCTCCCCAAACAAAGACAGGAAAAATACATACTGGAATATGTTCTCTATCTTCCTCACCCTTTAATCCCAAATAAGATAAGTTTTTTTTGCCTCTAAAAACAAAAGACAAATGAAGGGGCTGGAGCGATAGTACAGTGGATAGGGTGTTTGCCTTGCACGTGACTGATCCAAGTTCCATCCCTAGTGTCCCACATGGTCCCCTGAGCACTTCCAGATGTAATTCCCGAGTGCAGAGCCAGGAGTAACCCTTGTGCATTGATGGGTGTGACCCCAAAAAAGAAAAAAAAACATACAAAAACATTACACAGGTGAAGCTTAGTGGTTGGTCTTCCCTCCCTCTACCCCCTGCTCTGTCTCCCCCTTCCTTCCTACTTCTCCTTTCTACCTTTTTGTCTCCCTTTCTCCCCTCTCCCACTCTTCCTATCTCTTCCACTCTTTACTCTTTTTTCCCAGGATCAAACTCGTAAGTGTGAGGCATGTGCTGTAACGCTGTATGCCATGTCCCCAGCACTTTATTGAAAACATTTTAGAGGGAGGGCGGGGAGTGGAGTAGGGGGACTCTTAAGTTGTGCTCAGTTCAATGTGAGGATGGCTGCTACTTGGACCCTGAGGTGCTGAGGATTACCTGGGGTTACCTGGCGGTGCTCAGGAGGCCTCCAGGACAGCCCCTGAGTTGCAACCGGCAACCCTCAGGAGGCCATGTGGTGCTGGGTTTAGACTGGGATTGGCTGCATGAAAGGCACGCCTTTATCTCTGGAGGTTTTCAAGTTAAGTGAAATCAGTCCAAAGGAGAAGAACAAATACTGGATGATCCCAGTTATCTGTGGTATATAGTATACAAAACATCGGAGTAGACAGTATATCTGGCACACCCTGGACCTTGAGAGAGGCAGAGAGGAACTAGAAATGACAACAGGACAGTGGTGCAGCATCTCGGGCACTTTGGTTGTGGCAGATGCAGTAACTTTGTACATTGAAACCATAAACGTAAACCCTCTGTAACCATGTTATGGCCACTACAGTTAAAAACTGTTTTTATTTATTTTTTACTTAAAAAAAAATTTGTAATGAGGTCCTGTGATTTACATAGTCATTCACTATTGAGTTTCAGGTATACAATGTCCTCATGTCAATCCATTCACAGTGTGACATTTCCTCCACCAATGTCCCCAGTCTCCCTCCCACCACCAGTCTGCCTCTATGACAGGCACTTTCATAAAAAAATTTTTTAGGGGCTGAGCAATAGTACAGTGGCGACCTGGATTCTGATCCCCAGCACCTTATATGGTACCCTGAGCCCACCAGAAGTAATTCCTGAGTGCAGTGCCAGGAAAAACACATGAGCACTGTCATGGGTGGTCCCAAAGCCACAAAAATTTTTTAATTGCTATCATAGATAAGAACTTTATGTTATTTGAGCAACTGAGTATTCCATTAAATACTTTCTAAGGAGTATTTTAATATATATATAGCATAAATAATTAAATGGAAAAGTGTTTTTTTTATAATATTTATGTAGTTTTATATCTTAGGTTGGTATGATACCCCTTACCAAGATTTATTAGGGGCTGGAGAGATAGTACAGCAGCCCCACTACCCTAGATGGTTCCCCAAGCCCTGCCAGGAGTTACCCCTGAGCACAAAGCCAGGGGGTAAATCCTAGCCACAGATGGGTGTGGCCCAAAAACAAAATAAAAAAAAAGATTTTATTTATTTTTCTACTGCTTTGTGAAATTGAATTTTCTGTCTTTTGTTTATTGCTGCTGAACTCTTTGAAGAGTATGGTGTGGAGTCCACAATATTCTGAGAGGAAATTACTAACTTCACTGTTTTTCAAAAATTTCAGATATTTCAGTCAAAGGAAGAACTAGCTCTTCTCCTAAGATGGAATCTGTTGTTTGGGAATGTGGCTGATCAACTTCATATGTTGGCCAAATATGCCCTATGTAATAAAATGAACAGAAGAGACACGATGATGTCATTTTCCCGTGTTGTGAAACCAAAAACAAATGCCTTTTGTGAGACCAAGCTAACGAACCTCTGACAGTGCAGAGTATCGAACTGTTTGAAGAACTTAACAGTAAAATAGAGAGGACACCTTTCCAGCTGAGACCTGCAGGGGTCTGAAGATCTAAAGTACGTATTGAACCTGATTACCGCCGCTCTCCCAGACCCAGGAAGGATGGCTATGAATTGGATTGTCTTTTATTTTTGGCCCTTGACTATGTTTGTGGAGCATATCGGTGGGCACAGTTTGTTTTCTTGTGAACCTATTACCTTGAGGATGTGCCAAGATCTGCCTTATAATACTACCTTCATGCCTAATCTTCTGAATCATTATGACCAACAGACAGCAGCTTTAGCAATGGAGGTAAGGCTTGATTTCTTTGACATGTCTTTAAAAATTGTTCTTAAAAATTTTTTTTTGCCACACTGACTTTGTTCAGGGCTTACTCCTGGCTCTGTGCTCAGGGATCACTCCAAGGTGTGCATCAGGGGACAATAAGGGGGGCTGGGATAGAACTTGGGTCAGCCGTGTAGAAGGCCAGTGAGCTATCCGCTGTACTATGGCTCCGACTCCAGAAAACGTTTCTTATATTGTTCTGTAAACCGATGTGGTGAATTCACCTGATAAGTAACATGGAAAAAGTGTTACTTTTAACTATATCTTGTTTATTAAAAAATCACATACCTACATCCAAACTGATCAATTGAAAAATTTACGTTTGCGGAATGTTATTTTTGACTGACGTTTTAATCTACCTTTATAAATTTGAAATGGTGGAATTTAGGAAAACTAATAGTCATTCAGAAGTTTAAAACTACAAGGTATTACATCGTTTTGTTATTTGATTATAGAACTGGACAGAGAATAAAACATATAATTGAATTATTATTGAAGGAATGTGATTTACAAAATTGAGTTATTCAGCATTTAGGATTATAGCTTAAAAGAATTCTAACCTTCTTGAATACTTAAAATAATTGTATGGTTTTATCACATTCAGTCAACTGAACAATGATAACTCCCATATTATAAAAAGCTTTTGTTCTGTGAATTATCTGTGCTTGACATCTCAGGATTTTATGAAATTTGAATTACTTGAAATTTTCTAATGATAGTTCTATAAATTCTTTTAATGATTTTACTTTAGAAATTATGACAGATTTTTAGGGGTAGTTAATAATAGGTTTATGTAAGTATGTGATTGTTTCTGTAGTGGTGGTTATGGAATTGTTGACAAGAATATATTTGTCAGAACTAGAGCTGGGGGTAATAAAGTATAGAAGCTTTCCAGTTGCACCACCTGGGGTTTGATTTCTAGTTCTATTTTTTAACTGTTGCTTTGGGCAAATTATATGGGAAAAAATTTGTGTATAAAGCCAGAAATTGAACCCAGAGCCTCAGACTTGCAAAGTATATACTTTACCACTGATCTACATCCCTGGCCAAGATATGTAAACCTTTTGCCTGTATTTCTTCATTTATAAAATGGAACTAATAGTAATCATACTGGCTTGATTTTTCTTTTCCTTGGTAAGGTGAAAAATGAAGTTGTATTGTAAAGTACTTGTACAAAGCATGAATAAAAGTGATCACTTTTGCCATTTACTTATTCTCATTGATGGTGCTATATATATATATAATATAAATATGTGTATGTGTAATTTACAGAGAATGTTTTATATTTCAGTCTTTAATTCATTGTTATAGTTCTTTCAGCAAATTGAAGTCTACTTGCTTTGGAATTCTTCCTTTTATAGTCACTGTCACTGTCACTGTCCTCCCATTGTTCATCGATTTGCTCGAGTGGGCCCAGTAATGTCTCCATTGTGACAGTTGTTACATATCGAATACGTCATGGGTGGCTTGCCAGGCTTTGCCGTGCGGCAAGATACTCTCAGTAGCTTGCCGGGCTCTCTGAGAGGGGTGAAGGAATCGAACTCAGGTCGGCCATGTTGGCTGTATGCAAGGCAAATGTCCTACCTGCTGTGCTATCACTCCAGCCTTCCTTTTATAGTAAAAGGTTTATTATTTCCAAGTAGACTAGTATGAAACATGGAAATTTGTGAAAAGATTCTTAGATCTTAAGATATGAAGGGCATCTTCTATAGTCCAAAAAATTGAAAATGGTATAGAGTTTGAACATTTTCTGCTCTTCTTCTGAGTGAGTACACAGTTCTGGCTAATAAAGAGAGATCTGTCAGTTTAGAATGGATGAAAATGGGTATTGGCTTCATACAGTGATTTGGTTCCAGGCATAGTGGTCCCTGTTGTGTATTAAAGGCATCAGTTTTCTGACAAAAAAAAATTGAAGTAGAGTACCTTTGTTTCTAATGCATTATAAATTGTACAACTTCTTTTGAAAACAACTAGGGTAGTAAGGAGGAAGTCAAAAGATATTTGCACTGATTTGTATTCCAGCAGTGCTCAGAGCTTATTCCTGGTCACTCCTGGTCAGGCATAAGGAATGGGGTGTGCTTGGGATCTAACCTGGGTTGGCCATGTGCAAGGCAAGTGTACCTGCTGTACTGTCTCTCTGGCCCCTCTCTGGGTTTGACTCTTGACATTACAATCTAGTGACTTTTCAGACCTTAAATAAGTCAGTTACCATCCTGAGCCTTCTTGGTTTTTTTCTTTGCACAGGCAATAATAACAATACCTCGAGGGATTTTTAAGATTATGCAAAAGATTTATAAAGTAATTGCATAGTCACTGTCACTGTCACTGTCCTCCCGTTGTTCATTGATTTGCTCGAGCGGGCCCAGTAACGTCTCCATCGGAGACTTTGTTGTTACTGTGTTTGGCATATCGAATACGTCACGGGGAACTTGCCAGGCTTTGCCATGCGGGCGAGATACTCTCGGTAGCTTGCCGGGCTCTTCGAGAGGGGCTGAGGAATCGAACTCAGGTCGACCATGTTGGCCGCTTGCAAGGCAAAAGCCCTACCCGCTGTGCTATATGGCACAAAGTAGGTAATTTGCAAATGTAAATATCATTTCTAGATAAAAACACTAGAAAGGTCAAGCCAAGTGGACATGTCCCCCTAGTTGTAGGCTTAAAGGTAGTTCATAAAGATGTTAGGCCAAGTGTTCACTTGACCCTTCTCAAACATATCTGTGTTGTCTGCTACATTATTGGATGCGAGGGTCCTTCTCTGGTTTTTACATAATTTCAGAAGAGCATTTAGGGGCAGTAGTTTCTAAGAGAAGGCTCTAATGATTTGAAGGAATCTTGGGTCTAGTTGCTGTGGATGTTCTATCAAGATGATGATGCCATTGAGAGACACTAGACACTTTGGGAGTATAAAGAACATGGGAACTTAGAAGGAACAGAACATCCAGATGGAAATAAGGATTCTTGGGTACTTTTAGCAACAGCTGTCTGATGATGACACCTACCTCTGATCCCGGAACTTTGGGTGTGCCTATCAGCTGCTACTGGGCACACACAGTTCAAGCTCATTCTTGAACATTCACTATGGAACAGAATAAATAAAAAGATGATTTTCTAGGTCTTTGAGTAGGCTTACTCTTTAGCCTGCCTAGATTTCATTCCCGAACAGATGCTTTGATGAGTCTGGATGCCTGAGCACAGTATTATGTGGCTGTGAGCGAGGGATGCCACAGATGAGAGGAGGTACGGACAGTTGGTTGTTTCAGGTTTGACTTTTCACTACCAACAAGTTGGACATTCTTTCTTTGTATATAAGGGATTCCAGTCTGTGCTTTCATTAAAATTGTGTCATGGTTTAAAAAATTATTATCACCGATACAAAAATGCATATGCTAAATTTTTATTACTCCTTCCTGCCTGTCTGCCTGTCTGCCTGCCTGCCTGCCTGCCTTCCTTTTCCTTCCTTCCTTCCTTCCTTCCTTCCTTCCTTCCTTCCTTCCTTCCTTCCTTCCTTCCTCCCTCCATCTCTCTCTCTCTTTCTTTCTTTCTTTCTTTCTTTCTTTCTTTCTTTCTCTCTCTTTCTCTCTTTCTCTCTTTCTTTCTCTTTCTTTCATTCCTTTCTCTCTTTCTTTCTTCCTTTCTTCCTTACTTTCTTTCTTAGGAAAAACTCCTAGAGTGGTTTGTCTTTGTTTCCATTTCCTGTTTCATTGTTGTGTTATTCTCATTCAACAGTTTCTGTAAATAGGGGCCTATAGGTAAGGCAGGTAAGCCTTGTACATGGCTGACTTGGGTTTGATCCTGAATACCCCATATTCATACCCTGAGCCCACCAGGAGTGATTCCTGAGCACAAAACCAAGAGGAAGCCCTGAGCACCACTGGGTGTGGCCCCAAAACAAACAAACAAGAAGAGAATTTCTGTAATGTTGGAAACTGACTGCAGGATAGATCCCTTTTGGGAACAGAGATTCCAAAGGCCTGAACAGCTGGGTATTCTTTTTGTTTATTGAGAACAAAATGTGTTTGAACCAATCTCCCAGTTATAAAGGCATTATTGTGGAAGAAACGTTTTATTATGGAAAATTTATCTTATAAAAATGTTGATGGTATATACATATTTTTACTTTTTATTAAGACACCATGATTTACAAAGTTGTTTATTCAGCCATATAGTGCTCCAACACCAATCCCACCACCAACTTTCCTTTCCCTCCATCAGTGTCCCCAGGTTCCTTCCCACTCCAATCCCTGCCTCACCTGCCTCCTTGGTAGGCATATTATTTGATATTAATATTAATTGCTCAAATAAAATGTAAAAGAATGGCAGCACATATGCTGCCCAAGCCCATGTGCTGCTTGGGCCCACGTGGCCAAGCAACATATGGTGCCCGAGCACATATGTTGCCCGCATCTTCCCTCTTGAGATGTGTACTTTCAGGCTTTCATGTCCAGTGCTGGGATGTGTCTTCTCACAAGGGCTCTTTCTCTGCCCTTAGAGAAGCCTGTGTTCTCTCTTAAGTGCATTACTCTCTCTCTCTCCCTCTCTCCCCCCCTCCAGACCTCAAAAAACCTCCAAATAAAATAAAATCTATTTTTTAAAAAAGTAAAAGAATGGCGAGTAGAGTTATGAGAAAATAATTCTGATAACTTATTGTCAGTTGACAAATTGACAGTACAAGTCTATTTGGGATGATTGATTGCTATGTTTTTAACCTTTCTTAATCTAGTAGAGGACAACTGTAGGCACCATTAGTGAGCATCATCCTCAGTGCCACATGCTAGGAAGTTTCTCTGGTCCTTTAAAAGAGCTCTTTACACATCTTACAAAGCTGGTTTAAAGGATATGAATTCCCTGAGCTGTTGCCTGTCCATGAAGCTCCATATGGTTCCTTCTGGTCTGAATAATAACACAACTGGATTGAGGATATTCTTGGTAAAAATGTCCTTAAGTATAATGACAGCTGTATGTCATCA